ATGACAAAGATAGGAGAGTTCCAAGAAGAATTAGAAGGAGCTACATGTCCGCTATAGAGCTGTTCCTGTACTAACTGCTCAGCAGCTTTAATTTTTTCCTCGGTGAGAGGCCACTGATCCACCCACACAGGTTCCTCACTTTTCCAAGTAATGGGATCTGCGTGAAGTACAGGCTGATCAGTGGCCTCCTTTAAAAACACCCTAAACCTGTTTTTGGAGGTCGTTGGATTGGCATTAAAGAAAGGCTCCTGTATCCCCTGACCTTTAGTTCCCAAGCCTTGATTAGGTAAAAGCCCTTGTTCAAACATTCGGTGGGTGATCTGTTCACTAGGACTATATAAATACACCCCCATTTCTTTCATAATGTCTCTGCCCCATAAATTAACTGGCAGCCCTGGCACGATATACGACTGGAATCCACCCTGATGACCCTCGGCATCTTTCCAAAATAACATATCACTACTCTGTTCAGTGCTTTGGCTTTGACCTATTCCTTGTAATTGTGTCATTGTTGATTGTTTAGGCCATGCTGTAGGCCATTGGTCTGCAGTTAGAACTGAGATGTCAGCCCCAGTGTCCAGTAGACCCTGAAAATTTCTCCCATTAATGGTCAGGGTGAGCACAGGTCGTTGGGCTCCTATAGACCTTACCCAATAAACATCTAAAGAGTTGAATCCAACATCTCCTCTCTCTTTTTGCTGCTTTGTTAGTATTTGAGGGAGAAACAGCAGCTGTGCTATATGTTGTTCCGCTCGTATCACAGAAACCCCAGTAGGTGAATGAGTCATGATTTTAATTTCTCCAGTGAAATCCCCATCTATGACCCCAGGAACAACCAAAATACCATTCATAGTAGCGCTACTTCGACCTAAAAGCAATCCCATCATCCCTGATGGTAAGGGCCCATAAACTCCGGTAGGTAAGGCCTGCATCCCCATTTCTGGGGTTAATACTGTGAAGGCGGAGGGATTGAGGTCCAGTCCTGTGCTGCCTGCGGTTGCTCTGAAAAGGTCCTGAATGGATTTCCTTGCTGAGGAATGAATGTTTGAAGGGGGCCTGGGGCGGGCCCCTCCTCCCGTTTCCCTGCGGGAGAATATTTCCCATGGTATCCTTTTTAGATTTACACTCATTAGCCCAATGATTGCCTCTTTTGCACCTGGGACACAATCTAGGCCCATTTTCTTTCCCTGCATTGTTTGAATTGGCTGGAGGAGTCTTATTGGGACATTGCCGCACCTGATGGCCTATTTGGCCACATCTAAAACAACTCCCTGGTGGACCCGAAATCCTGCCTTTGGGATTTCTCTTTTGTTGTTGGAGCAACACTTCTTTAACTGTTTTTCCTTGCAAAGCTGCTGCCATGGCAAGGCCCTGAGTATAAGCAGGCCCAATGTCAGCACACATTCTAATATAGTCTGAAATGGTGCCTTTCTTTCTAAATGGTCTTAGGGCTGCCTGACAGGCGGTATTGGCATTTTCATAAGCCAGTTGTTTGACCAGTAACAATCCCGCATCGGAATCTCCCAGCATTCTACTGGCAGTCTGCATTAACTTGGCTACAAAGTCTTGAAAAGGCTCATCAGGTCCCTGCCTAATTTTGGATAAATCTTCTGTCTGCCTACCTGTAGAAGGCAGCTTCTGCCATGCCCGCTTGGCAGCGGTATTGACCTGTGCATATACTCCTGCAGGAAACAATAATTGATTGGCGAGGTCCGCATGTTGCCCTTCTCTTGCCAGAATGTCATAATCAATATCATTTCTATTAGCCAGATTTAATTCAGCTGTTCTCTGACACTGCTCGGAAAATTCTGTTTTCCAAAGGAGGTAATCTCCCCCAGACAGGCATGCCTTAGAAAGCTGTTTCCAATCTCCGGGAGGCAGCGCCTCCGTGCTCAACGATTCTAACATAGCCTGAGTAAAAGGTGCGGTAGGGCCATATTGCGCACATGCCATTTTTAACTCTTTGAGTTGTTTAAAAGATATCAACCGAAGGATTCTGACCATATTCCCTTGAGTGTCAGCTTCCTCAAATACTGGACAAGCTAAATGAAAGCCCTGGGTATCTTCCCCTCTGTCAACCGCATGTTGCAGGGTAGCTTGTAATGGCGACAGAGACCAAGAATTGACAAAGGCCTGGGTCCTGGGGGGATGTTTGATCATGGCTATAAGAGGGTCAGTTTTTTTCATTAATCTTGGACCTGCAACTGGCAGGGGATCAAGACCAGCAATTATACTAGGAACTATTCCTCCCTCGCCCTGAGTCTTCTGGTCTTCCTCTTCCACCGTTAAGCCTGTCTGCCACTGCTGACAAAGAGACTCCAATCTCTTTTCCAATCTAGTAATCCTTTCGGTCACGTCCTCATTCACTGGCTGGCTGGATTTTTCGGTTTTCCTGGCCACGGCTACGATGCGGGGGGGGGGGGGCAGTCCTCATTATTATACCTAGCAGCCTCTTCTTCCAAATCATCAGCATCTCCCGAGTTTAGGGGTCCCTCATCCGGAAAAAAACCCTTCCTTAGTGCAGGCTCTGCATCAGCATACACTGGCGGAGCAGATGGCTCAGTTTCACTTTCTATAGGAGGCGGAGGGACAACCTCGGGAACACCAGCCCAGTCGGGCTCCTCCGAGGAAGGACTTGAGGAGGGCCCTTCAACTCTCTCTCCCTCATGCCGAGGATCCAAACTATCTCTAATTAAAGCCCATAAACTAAAAGCATCGATAGGGATTTTAGTGGGTCCATGACCATCGTAATAGTCCTGAAGTCGCCTTTCCACCTTATTCCATACTTCTAAATCTACTGTGCCTTCTTCAGAGAACCAAGGACAAACTTTCTCTACAAATTCTAAAAAATTACATAATTGTTGCTGCCCTACCTTTGCTCCACGAGCGCGAAGCATATTTTTAAGCATATGTTCAAAAAGCATTCGGCTATTATCAATACCCACCTTGTTACTCCCGAGTGCATTCACCGCCCTTAATTTACTTATCCAAGCTCACGATCCGCGGTGTCCTTCACTATGGTCCCCCGTATTCAGGTCCCTGTTCGGGCGCCACCCATGACGGAGCCAGCCGTCACTTGTCGAACAGCACCTGAATGGGGGAGTGAGGACGAAGAAAAAGAAAGATGCAGAGATAGAGTCGGGAGCATCCAGAGAGACTGCCACCGCTTTTTTAGTGTCCGCCCCTTTTTATCACAGGTGAGTTTGGTTATTAATCATGACCCTTATCCAAAGACACCTGCTTCCTCGTTCTCTAGTTCTTTGGAAAGTCCCCACCCTCATGAGCTTGTTTCTCGGGTTTACAAAACATTCATCATGTTCCAGGACAATTTCTGAAGGTAAACATCTAATTTGGCAAGGACGCGATTCCTCGTAACATAGTCTCCTTGCTCTAGACAATGGAGGGTAAGATTTAACATGGAGCCTCTATGGCTAACACTGCTCTCCACAATTTACTTTAAAAATTAAATTATTAATTATTAGTTAAATTATTTTTTGGATTTGCACTGAAAAAGGAGAGATTGACAGAAGTTCAGAAGTAAAATATTGATAATTGGAAGGTGGATGATGGGTTTCATTATTTTATTCTCTCTACTGTTATATACTAAAAATTCTGTAATTAAAACATTTATTTTTAAATTGCAACTATTGTCAAATTAAGCCAATGGACAGTGAAGATAGAAGGCAAATGTCTATATCAAGATTTTCCATTAGGCAAGGTCCAGGGAGACCCTGATAAGCCATAGGCATTCCAAAATTATAAGGGATTTGAAAATATGGGGAGGCAGAGGAAACTGATTGGTTTAGAAAGGTGCCTTAAAGGGTTATTCAGAGAGAGGTAGATGCCAGAGCAAGGAGCCTCTGTACCTCATAGGTTTCTAGTTCCTGGTTCCTTTACCCAGGGGTCCTAGCCATACTATGACCCCTATGCCATTCCTCATCTACTCTTCTCCCACTTTTTGGGTCGTCTCATGTTTATCTTTAAAATTTGATTCCCCCTTTTCTTGAGTTTGGTTGATCAAGCCTTTTTCTCTCTACATCAAAATAGGCACCCTCAAAACAAATGATTATTTGCACCTGTCAGAATCTGCCTAAGTGGAAGGGCCCTACCAATCTTGGAGTCAAATGATGCTTAGTATCCTGTGGAGGAGGATTAGGAGAAACCCTTGTGGGAATCAGAATGTCAGGTGATGAAAGCCAGTTCAAATCTGCCCTCCAGGTACAAATGTACTGGGACACAATTAAAGTACTTTTCCTAAGAGGCTTTGACAGAACTAATAGGCAGTTTGCCATGGTAATTTCCTGGGCACCATGTTGATCTAAGAAGTAAATATGGTCACTGAACTGTCAGTTCTGTATATGAAGCCAGTCTTCTTGCCTGTGGGGTCTTAACATTTTGTGTGCTACAAATGGAAGGTAATCTCCCACTTGGATATGGATGAAAGGCTTGGAGGGCTACCACTTTGCCCTTCATTTACCACAAAGAATAAAGGGTTTCTAGGCAGGATGAAAGAAGTAATCTAGGAAAGAAGCCAGGAAAAAGGATTCTGAAGGGTAGTGTCGAGGGAACTGCTCATTAAGGAAGTTAGTTCAAAGGTGAAATAGGCAGCCCTTGATGCCTGTGGTGGGACAGTCCTCTGTGGAGTTAGGCTGTGGAACGCACTGCCTCTGCAGCCTTGGTGTGGCAGATCTTGCTAGAAGCTGTATTCAGGAAAATCTGAATTGGGAAAGAAAATATACTTGCCCATAAGAGCCAAGAGGAGGAGGAATGGCCCACTTTGGTCCTTTTGGAGAAGTGACTGGGTGCCAGGTACTTCCTTGGTCAAAGAAGATCATGCATTCACAAAAAAAGGGGAAGAAAAATAAAAGTGAATACAAGTGTCTGCAAGTTTAAAGAAAATGACCATGCTTCACTGTGCAGAAAGAATCACCATAAAAAATTTTGTTTATTCTCTTAGTTTGTTCCTATGTATTTACATGGCTACCATAATAATATATGCTGACTTTTAAGTGCTATCTAATTCAGGAACATTCACAGATCATATAATTTAGCAAAAGGCATTTAATGCTATATGTCTGTCTTTGGATGATCTATTGTCTTTTATCAATAAAAAAATTCCAATGACTTAGGTCATTTAACATAAGGCTTAAAGATGCATTAAAATCATTTCTCAAGTTCTTTAGCAATGAAAAACTTCATTATGTCATTCTATGCAATCCTGCTTTGTGGAGAGGGAAAGAAAAGACCCTTTGTTTAGTAATTTTCTTGGCATGGGGTCTTCACTATGTAATAAGCTTAGCCATTGTTAGAAAATCTGGACAAGAACAACACTAGTTATTGTTGTAAGTGATCATGAAATAAGACAAGAGATTCTGTATGAACTGTAGGTTAAAGGATATAGCTCAAGAAATGTTTCTTGGCACTGAAAGAAGAGTAAAGAGACAGATGACACTACAGGGTTGTGTCATTTAGTTTGGGCTGTACGTGACAATTTGGACTTATTTGTATTATATAACAAGTACATCTAGGAGTGTACTGCCAGCCTAGGTTTGATTAATTCAACTAATCAGCAATATCAGCCTGGACGTAGGTTCTTTACATCTGGCTTTGCCATCCTGGATGTATTGATGTGGTTACCAGGCCAGCTCCCTTCATGGCTGTGAGATGATTGCAGCAGATCCAATTACAAGAGAAGATGAGTCTGTTTCTTACTATGTGTCTCTATAAGCCAGGAAAGTTTTGTTTTATTTTTATTGTTTTTATTTTATTTTGTTTTCAGGGCACTTTATCACTGAGCTACAGTCTCATTCCTTTTTATTTTAAATTTGAGAGAGGCTGTCACTAAGTTGCCCACCGAGGCTGACCTCAAACTTGTGATCCCCTTGCCTCAGCCTTCCGGGTAACTGGGATAACAGGCATGTGCCACTTTTCTCATTCTGAAAAGTTTTCCTGTAAGCCTTTCTTACATACCTCTCATGTCTTGTTGGCAGGGTTATATCACACATCCATACTTGAACCAATCACAGTCCACACCATGTCTAGGTATGAGGCTAGCTTCCTTTGAAGCTTCCTTTAAATAAGAAAATGGATATGGACAAAATCAGGTGGTATTGGAAAGGAGGGAGGAGGAAAGATAGCAACCAACAATGTTTCTCAAAAGGACTAAGCTTGGTCTCTGAGTTACACAATGTCCTAGACAATGCATATAGTTTATTGAATTTCAGAATATGGTTCCAATCTGTACAAGGGAAGACCTTTGTGTGTGTGCATGCGTGTGTATGTGTGCACGTGTGTATGTGTGTGCATGCATTTGATTTTATTTTGTTTATTATGTTATCAGTTGGTCAGTGTATCTTTTCAAATAATGTTTTCAAGGAGAGAACATGGGCCAATCTATTTTCTGAGGCCTTACCTATCTGAGCATGTCTTTTTGTTGTTTCTGTTAATTGTGACAACATGGTTAGATAGAAAACCCAGATTCACTATCTTTTTCCATCCAGTTAGTTTGTAGACATTGCTGCATTGTTTTCTAGTAGTTAGTGTTGCAGAGAGGTCATGGATTACTACTTTCTGTTCCTTTGCAAGTAGGTTTCTTAACCCGATCACCTGAAGGATTCTTTTCTTTATTCTTTCAATTTAAAAATCATGCCTGGGATGCATCTAAGTCTGGGTCATGACCTTTAATCTTACTTAGAATAGTGAGTCAGTCTGCATACTCCAAACTTTTCCATCATATCAATTTTCACTGATGTCTTTGATTTGTCTCAGTGACTCTTGTTCTTGTCCCTTTCATACTTAGTATGATAAATCATATTCTCTGTTTTCTCTACTATCTTCTTACCCACCATTTTAATTTCCTTATTCTTTTCCTCTACATTATAGTAGAATATCTAAAGTGTGACCACCAGAATACTAACTTATCTTTCTATAGGGCTGCTGCTACTCTTTATTCATTCCAATGTATGCTGTATTTTATTTAGTAATAAATTTATTATATTTTAGGAAGCATTTTGATGGGTTTTTTTTTTTGGAACTGGGGATTGAACTTGGGTCCTTGCGCTTGCACAGCCAGTGGTGAAACCACTGAGCTAAATACCTGGCCCTTGATGATATTTTTATCTACCTCACCTATGTCTCATTGTTATCTCATTCTATTGTCCTTGCCATCCTATCCTTTTCTGTCTGTGTGACATCTGCACTTCTTTCATAGAAGCCATGTCTTCTTGTATACGTTAGAGGATATTACATAGTTTTCTAAACTTGCTTTCTGGTTCCCCTAAAGGAGGTCATTTTCATAAGAATGTTCTTCATCTCCTCTTCTACATAATTTTTTTCTGTATTCTCAATGCTGTATTTTCTTTTTCTGGTTACTCATCTTTAAATGAGGGGCATAAAGCCAGTGTCAAATTCACCCACAAACAGGGTGTGTAGATTTCATTTGACTCTATTGATTGGACAGTTAGGTGATAATTGAGTCTCCTCAGCTCTGCAGCTGGAGAGCAGCCTGAAGAGAATGAGTCCCTGCCCAATTCTGAGACGTTCACTAGCATTCTGATAGCACGGCTCTGTTCTGCTGAGTTTCTGTCCTCACTATCTAGAATACTCTTCTTGCTATATATTGCTACTGGGGTGTTTTCTCTTCTACCACAAGTTTGAGGTGTAATATTTTATCTGGTGATAAGTCCTGACAGGATGCAATGTATCTAGCACCACAGTTTAATGTACTTCCTAGACTGTGTCCCTAGATGAATGTTAAAAGATGAAGAAAGTAAAAAAAATTATATCAACTCAAAATGCAGTGCCAACATGATACAGGGACAGCTTCCAGATTTCTTATGATATAAACCCCAGGTCTCTAAGTAGGATAGTCAGGAGGAACAAAAATGTCTTTCTGCCTTCTCTTTGGTCATCAAAGAACCACTGTTTCTTAACTATCTTTTTTTTTCCCCCTCCTTTGGTACTGGGGATCGAACTTGGGTCCTTGCACTTGTGCAGCAGGCGACAAAACCACTGAGCTAAATCCCCAGCCCAAGAACCACTGTTTCTTGAGGAAGAGACCAGACCAATAGCCAATCACTTTTCTTCGTCCTCTTTTTTTAAAATTTAAAATGTCAGATCTTTCTACATTTTGCCAAGCTGTGGATGATAGATGAGGTTTTTATCTGTCTGTGGCTTCATAGATATTTTAGAAGAAATTTAGGGAAGTTTTTACCAGGGTGGTTAGCCTAGTCCCATTTAAAGAAATGAAAATCAA